TCGGCCCTCCGCCTCAGCCTCCGTCTCTGCCTCTGCCCTCAGCCCTCGGCCTGCCGATCAGCCTCTGGACCCTCAAGGTTCCCCCCTGCCGGTCAGAATACCCCCTGAGCAGGTATTAACCCAAATCATCGTTAAACAGCAAGTTTCCTGGATCCACTCTAACCGATCTGTCCTCCTCTAGTTGCTTCCCTCCCGTGACCAGCCTGACGAACCAAGACGCCGTTCACATTTCTCTCAAAACATTGTCAACAAACCATTTAACTTTTTTCCTGTCTCTTGAGTGTTTCTGTATGTGGGTTAGAAGATTAGACCCCAACATGACAGAGTCAGCCTTCTGATAAGTGAGTGTCGCTGTATTTCTAACTTAACATAATGGACCAGCTCAGATTTGGGTTGAAATAGGAAAGCATCTAAAGTTGTTGAAGAGAATGATTTACTGTTTTCATAATAGCACATTTGTGTAACTACTTCCGGATTGGCTAAAAACATACTTGGTATTTTGGCAATAGGCGTCACTTCACGCACTCAATTCTGCTAAATGTCCCTTTTTCCCTGAATTGATTTAATGGAACCAGGCCAAGATGAAATATCTGTAAATTAAACTAAGAGTATTGCAAATGACCAATCAGGCTTGCCAGGTGATTTTTCTGACAGATTACAGAGAAGTGCTGTCATGCTATGGCATAACGCTGGTGTGAATTATCACACTGATTAGACTTATCTCTATTTGCTACAGAACGGAGGCTGCGCAGGAGATACAGTTTGTATGTGAGAGAGTTGGAAAATATTTACAATACACCAAGGACAATTCAATGTATTTTGCCTTCCAGAGACTCCAGAAGACCCTGGTGGCCTCCACAATCACCTGGATTGAATGACTATATCACTAACACACTGGTTTGTGAGAAAAACATTAAGTGTCTAACCAGGTGTTCAAAAGGGACTCCAAATTCCTTTTTATTCCATACATCTCAGACTTTCACTGCAAGACAGTCTTGTCATCCACAGAATAATTATCATGTTTTTTATTTAAAAAAAACTCTGGATTAGTCGGCTTAATTAGAGATGGAGAATATGCTGACTGTAGGCAGCAGGTCAAGCACTATATGGCTCAGTGGGGAATTAAGCACATCCATTATTATCTTGAATGGTAGAGGAGGCAGATTTACCTGGAGTAAAAGAGAAAAAAAAATGTATATTCCTAAAAGTTCATGCAGGTCATATTATAAAAACAAATAATACAACACACAAACCCTTTAAGCCTAATTAATGTGTCAGTCAGGCCTGATCAGATCAGTCTTCTATGATTAAGGTGCCAACAAATTTTTTACATTTAGGGATTATTGTAAACTATGAATAATGTAATTTTAATAAGAAATCAAAAGGATAACAACAAAATTATCATATCAATTTTTATTTAAAAAGAGTCACTAACTCAATCAATATGCCTTTCATTTTAGAATAAAGAGGACCAAGAAGCAGCATACGAAAAAAAACAGCATGTCATTTCTGCACTCGCCGGATGACATCTCAGTTTACATATGCAAACATTAGCCCATCCGCATGTCCCAAAATGTGTTTCTGCAAGATGACTATATGCTGAAGTAAGTTTTTTGAGGAAGTCTTTGCCTTGCTTCATCTTTGAAAGTAAGTCACATGATACACTATGTTAATCACATATATGCACATATATCACATATATAATCGCATAAACCGATATCAAAGTTCTCTTCTGATTAGCCTACGTGTAATAAAGAAAAAAATTTAAACAAAGTTAAATCATTTCTTTACTACTATAATGCAAAAACTTTTCTTTTTCTCATAACAAAACTAAATAGGATTCTATTTTAATCTTTTTTAAGTATTCTTTAACTTTTGCTTTACCGAAGAGGACAGAAAATGCTTAGCTTAAGTTCAAGTTTAGAAGTTTAACCTGTTACCTAATGAAATGAGGACTCATGCTGTATGTAGCCCCCATATATAGTTTGGTTGCTCCAGCTTTACGCTATTAGTACTACTGTATTTCTAGCTCTTTTTGACAGTAGAGTAAAGGCAGTTTATATCAGAGGAAATTCCAGAAAAGGAAGAACTTCCCACAGTGCTGTAGATTACAGCCTCAGGGACCTAGAAGGAAAATATCAAATTCATTATAGCATACAGTAAGACATTTTACAATTTTTTTTAGAAAACAATAAATAATCCTATTATACGTGAGATTTGAACATCCTAACCCCCATCTTCTCCATATTTGCATATAAAGAACAGTGATCTGCTCGTCCATGTGATATAAAATGGTTTGCGGGTAAAAATGTAACTATGAGTTATACATAAGAACCCCATGTTGCTCTACAGCAACTAGGCCTGAGAATCTACCTCAATATGCACTCCATGATGTCAATTAATGAAAGAAACAGAAAGTTTGAATTTTTCTCTTCCTCTTTGCACAATTTCAAAAAACATTACTTGCCAAATCCTGAGGTTAAAAAATAGCACAGTGTAAAGTTGTCCACTTAGGATACTTTAATATTTAGTTAAAAATAGTTGTATTAGTTAAATTGTTGCACAATAATGCACTGAAAATACTTACATTTGCTGTTTTTTTCGTAGTGTTCTTGAAGTTGATGGAAGCGTAGGAAACACCATCACCTGGATCAGGCTGAAAAAGAAAAACAGGTGTTCATTAAAATTTGTCCTAAACCACACAGATATACAGTAGAGTTTAGTTTTAAAATTTCATATCCATAGTTGTAGCAGCTTCTGTTTAAAAAAAAATCATATTAAGATTCCCAAGTAGTTTCCATAAAAATGGTACAATCACAATTAATTAAAATGTTGCCATGGCGGCACAAACAGGTGCAGCGGCTTCACCAGCTGCTGCTAAATTGCCAGCTAGAGGTAAAGCAAGCACAATGCACATCTATTTATATAGCACAATTAAGCACAGAGTCATTTCAAAGAACTTTAAGGGGGAAAAAAAGCAAGTAAAGATGAATAAATTATTAAAAAAAGGCAGGCTGTAAAGAAATTCAACAGTTGGACCACAACAGAGGTGAGAGCGTTTCAGCATTACCTTAGTGTTTCTGATTACCTGATCCTTACCTGTTCTGCCTCTCAACCACTAGCCTGCCTGTCCTTCTCTGATCTGTTTGCCTGACCTTACTTTGGACTCCTGCTGGATTCTGCCTGCTTGCTGAACTTGAGAGCTGCTTCCTGACACGGACCTGGATTTTCCTTCAGTATCTCTCCGGACTTCTGATCTCCTGGTTCTGTATCCTCTGCACGTCCTTGGTACCGGCTTTGGCATTGTCCTCTGGATTATCTTGCCTTCCTTCATCTCCCTGGATCTGGTCTCCTGTTTGTTCTCCATCCAGCGGGGCTGTAGCATTTGGGACACTCTTGGCGGTGCCCACCGCATCTTATAGTCAGCCCACTGGCTGGATCCTACGTTCTCTGGGCTTAGACTGAACTAGTAAACCAGTAAACCTGTGTTTTCTTTCTGCAGAGGTTCCTGCGATAGATGCCCTAGCTGCTGCTACTGCAGATCCGTTTTTCAAATAAACGCTTTTGAATTATCTGTCTTTTTGCCTCTCATGTTGAGAGAGGACTTAACTGATAAATCAAACTCTTGCCAAATCCAGTCAGGAGGAATCCACAAAATGGCCTTCCGACCAGGAAAGCCACAAATCACAGTCTTTTGTTTGTTTTTCAAAAAAGAAATAGAAGGCATTCAAGCTAAAACAGACTGAATAGCAGAGTCTTCGGGTAATTCTTCAGATGAAGCCATGTTTGGTTTCCAAACAAATCATTGAATAACAAACTGAAGGGATTGTATTCCTCTGTATTGTATTTGTGTGCATTGGTGTGTTTTCATCTGTATGGTCCTACTCGGCTCTGATGTGTTTCTGGAAGCACTGTGACCACTGCAGAGGGTTGGTTCAGATCCTGCTTTACTAAATCTTCATAACAGGGCATCTGTGATGGAAAAAAAATCACACAGTAAGAACCCTAAAACAGTTGTTCATACAGCAAGGAGTTAAAGAACCCACTCACTCCCCGTATTCAGGTGAAATTAACCATCTGGTGAAAAAAACTCAGATACCATATCTCAGCTTCACAGCAATACTTAATAATCCAGTTTGTTTTCCTTGGACTGACAGATCTCTATGCATTTTAAAAAAACTGTTCTACTCTCTGAACTTATTATTACCTCTTAATGTCATGCTAGCTTTGGTACTAGTTCTCATTAATTTGCATTCACACTAGAAATGTTATTTGGTCCACTTGTTTGGTCTGGACATAAATTATTTGGTGTGTTTTGCTTTCACATTTTATATATTGTAAGTGAACTATAACTTGTGCTGTAAGAAAGCCGCTGATGTAACTACAAGTAGTGAATATAACCTTGGTCTAGTTCCTGTACAGAAAAAACAATCATATTTAAATGCTGGTAAAGATTCTCAGTCATCCAGGTCAAAGTCAATTGAGAAAAAAAAAGTTAGCAATCCACTGGACTTTGTTTCCAGGTTTGACAGTTCAAACCTGGAAACAAAGTCCAGTGGATTGTTTTTTTTTTTACATTTTAACATTTAAAAAAAAAATTTTTTTCTTTATTGTTTAACATTAAAAATATTTAAAACTCACCCTGCTGTCTTCAGCTTGCGTTTTATTTCCTACAAAAAACAGAAACGGACTTGAATCTCCATGCTCCTTCCCCATTTATAACCATAAATACAACCCTAAAAAAAGACTGCTTTTTTCGTGTTTTTTTTTTTTTTTAAACACATCAAAATGCCTCAGTTCTATTTTCATCGAAGTCGCTGTGCATTGTTGATAACTCTAGCATGGAGCAAAAGACCTCAAATATGAAAATCAAAACACGAAATATCATTGGACTCTTCTAACATAGATCTGACATAGAATAATTTAAAAACAGAGGATTTATCTGTGAATTATCTCACCTTTGGTTTGCTTCCAAAGGATGATCATAGGGACAGTTATCAACAGTGCAACTAGGAGTAAAGGACAGATAATATACCACCAAGGTAAAGCTGGAAAGAGAAATAATTACATGAGGAATTATATATTTCTATATTGCTACAAAACAATATTGTTTTAACATAAGATTATTATCTACTATGTAACATTCGATAATGAATTATAAGATGACATTGAAGGTTTGGTTACTGGATTCGTGTTACCTCCAGAGTTGTCAACTTACTTGTCTGTGATGTTAATTGAGGATCTGATGACAGGGTCGGTTCATTTGCCGCTTTATTTGTTTTTGTTAGATTATCACCTTTAGAAATGTATGCATAGAGAAAAATACAATTATATAAAAACCTGGCAGATTAAAGCCAATATTTGAACTGATTTTAAAGATTGTATCATGTTCTCACCTAAGGACTGAGCGCTAAAAGGAAACTGCTGAACTTTCGCAGTGATACTGTTTGTGGCTTTACACTGCAGTAACTGATAAATGTCTAATTTCTCATGAATGTAAGATGTTGGAAATGTCACAGTGGCGGAGCATGCATGTTGGAACATATTCATATCTGAGGGTTTTTCCTCTTTCCCCTCATAAAGCCATTCAACCTCATGAAGACAGAGATCATATTCTAACACAGAGCAGAACAAGGTGACTGTATCATTGCTCTTCTGCTCAACCACTGGAGATAACAAAGACATAAGGAGAAAAAATAAGAAAAAAATAACTTGATCATTAGATAATTATTGCATTGTTTTTCTTTGTTTTGTTATATGATGTAAACACTTACAATTAATTATAGACAGAAATAGCGTGGAACGATGCATTTGTCTTGATATGGTCCAGAGGCAGTTGTACTGACCCACGTCATTCTCTGTGACATTATGTAGAACCAGGGAAAAGTCTTCTGTAACACTCTGTCTGCCAGATGCAGTTTTCTGTTGCTTTTTAGAATTTACAAGCTTGACTAGTGTTGTTGTTGTTATTTTATCTCTATTGTTGAAGACCCAACTAGCTTCATCCAAATTATCTTGAGTTTCTCTCCTGCTTCCACAAGGCAAAGTCACTTCATTTCCAACTTTGACAGAAAGGAACGTTTGCTCTGCCTCAGCTTGTGCTGTTAATAAGAAATAACATGTTGAACACAGTCATGTAATTACAGCTTAAGTTATACAGATAAAGAAAAACATGCCAATTAGAGGAAGAATCTCTGTCTTATTACGATCCTTACCTTTAGACGAAAGCATCAGTGTCAGAAGTAAAGACATGTTAATCCATTTAAATGCACCCATGATGCTCCCCTTTCCTGCTGTCTGTCTGTCTTCAGAAATGACTCGTTGACAAATGACTCTGATTTGATTTCCTCTTAACACACACACTTATGCATTTCTATTAGTTGAATCACTTCCTTCCTATTGCTTGGCGTGCATTTTAACTCTGAGCGGAATATCCTCTGAAAAATGAGGAAGAGTTTGAGAGCATCTGTCCCTTTCTAAAAACAGCCTTGATGGCTGTCCTTAAAGTTTCTATTAATAGTCTCCAGTTTTGAGGTTATCTGTCTTATTTGTACAGTGATGGTAAAAAGTACTTTAATATCATACAAAAAGCTCACATCTAAGGAAATGATAACATATACTTTATTTTGCTGAACTAAAGGTCTCTTAAAAAAATTGTCACTGTAAAGCTCACAGAGCTACTCCAGTGTGCAGCCACCTAATCAGTGCAATTCTAGAACCAACAGAAGCAAATTTATTTTATTAGCTTCAATGTTCTTTATTAATGTGTTCAAAAAATGTGGATAAAATTAAATAAAACACATTTTTAGTAAGGAATGAACTTTCTGTCACACCAGCACCTGCTGACTCCTCTTTTTAACTTTGAGCCAAATGTCTTTAGAAAAAGTAGGAAGTGTTGTTGTGAAAATGTGAGTGCAGCAGCAGAGGAGCCTACGTGATTAACACATTCATGTGTGTCATTATAGTTTCCATGAGCAATCACCAGGAGGAAGTTGCCTTCCTTATGCATACATGATCGTGAAATTACAACAATAACTTGCAAAAGTTTTCCATTTAAGATTACCAACAGTTACTGAATGCCATCAAAATGGCTCCAATGAAAAGGCCCACAGAAGAACATTTCTGCCATTAATTTAAGTTTTCTTTGGTAAATTGTTCAGCTCAGAAGACTACCCTAAATCAAACAGATTTTTATTAAGAAATGCACTTTTATGAAATAGGGGCTGCATTTTATCAAAAGTAAAAGCTAATTTGCTTCCTGTGACATGATATGTATGCAGAAAGTATGCACAATGCAAACAATTATGTCCAATGAGGTCCCTCAAGACCTGCTAGTACATTGATCCAGGTTTTCATCTAGGCTACTCCACAAATAATATACATTTGCAAATAAAATATTTCAAGACACTATAAGAGGTCAGAGAACTTGAAACGATACAATGTTTGAGCTATTTTTGGGGTTGATCAGAAATATCAGCCATCCCCTTTTTCATCAATTAAATAGTTGTGCTTCCATCTAGTGGTGTCCTTGGGTAATGGCAATGGCTCAACACAATCTACATAAACAATAAGGATGCAATGTTTTGTTCTTATATGACATTTCAAAAGTAAATAAATGAAAGCAAACACAATCACACTTAAACCAGAATAGTAGTTGATCAGGAAAGCCAGCTCTGTGATTGGATACCCCCTGGACTCAGTACAGGAGGTGGGAAACAAAAGGATCCTAATTAGAAAATATAATATCTCTATTGGATAATGTCTCCCGCCCCATGCATGAAGCTGTTGCTGAACTGGAAAGCTCCTTCACTGACAGACTGCTGCACTCTAAATGCATCAGGGAACGTTATCACAGATCCTTCCTCGCATCACCTGGAAGACTTTATAACCACCGCTGTTCCCAACGATCTTAATAAGTTTTACATTCATCCTGATTTTTGCAGAGTTTCTGTCTTAGTTAAATAATATTAGATAACTTAAATAACATGCTGCTGTCATTTTTTGTGCATCTCTGGTTTTGCTTACATATCCTTAACTGTAAAAATGTCCACAGCGGTTATAGATTGTTTATTGTATATTCTCCAGATACAGAGTAATATCTTGCAAAACACTATACAGTATAATACTCTATTCGTTTATTTTCTTATCTGTCATTTTTTTACACTTTTCTAAGGTCCACATTGTGTGACCACTTCTGCTTTAACTTTTTGCTGCTTTAAAACCACAATTTCCCCATTGTGGGACAATAAAGGGATTTTTTTCTATTCTAAACACTGCAAATACCGGTGAGTAATTGAGATTTTTGAAAGAACTGTTTGTCGAAAAAAAATCTGAATATTAAATTGACAAGAAATTGACAAGAAATTAACAAAACTGATTTGCTGTGATCTCTGTTAAACACTTAAGAACTAAAACATTGTTGTTCTAATTGATATAAATAACAAAGACAGTACTGTACTACTGATCCTGTCTAAGTCATAACTATTTGCCTTTGCTTCAACCCTGCTGGACATCATTGCGTTTTCTGATATCTGGACCTTGACAAAGGTTCTGCCTCCTAACCACCACCTGTATCTTTTCCTGATATATTGTTTGTACATTTACATTCCCAATAGCCTTTTTAAAGTTGCTTTAATTAATTTTAAAAGATCTGAATTGCTGAAAAGGCTCAATATGTTCATCATGAAATGTTTTTGCATCTCTTTTTGTATGAGATTTCTAAATTATAAGACATATTATTTCCAGCTTACAAGCGGTTATATAAACATTCTTTCATTTCTACCAAAAGGAATCCCTAAATTATATCAAAAGAAAATATTTCATTCTGTGCTGTTTGTTTTTGGATAAAGAGCCAGGTGAAAAGGTACACAGATCTTTGAATATTTCTTTCGCATAGTTCTCGTTTCTATCTATTGAAATAAGATGTAAATGTTTCCTTGTATTGTCATTAAAACATTTTCTATGTTTTCTTTGAATATGTAAACATTTTAGTTAGCATATTCAATAAATTTAGGTCTGGATTGCCATGGAATTAGAAGGCAATTATGTAGGTTCTCGCTAGATTTTTTTTTATATCAAAACCCTTTGAGCTTAAATCTACTTTGACCACTGAGCAGCAGGAACCGAGGGGTAAATTGAAGAAGTAAAGCCACAATAGCCAAAATAAAAAGAAGAATTGTTTTGTTTTTTGCTTTTTTAGAGCAAACAGGATTTTATTGATCTGTGTGTAACGCATAATTCATATTAGATCATGCAGTGTTTGATTTATGATGGAAACCTTGTAGGCCTATGTATTCCTTTATTGTACATTTTGTTAGCTTGTTTGTCTGCTACATTAACCAATATGATGATGAACTAGATCTGTTATTTTTAAAGCTTAAAGCTTAGTGATTAGTACATTAATTCAAAAAAGTTTGAGTTCTATAAATCAAAGTTTTCTACCCAACAGCAATGATGAACTTCACGGCAGCATTCTATACCCAGCTATTGTATTATCTAGGCTTGAGCTGTCAATCTGGTAAAGAATCTGAATGTTATTCCAAATTCTAAAGTTTAACTTGTTTTTTTCAACATTAAACTGACATTAAGCTGACTAAAACTAAACTAACTAACTAAACTAACTAAAAGCTTTTTAAGTTTTAGTCAACTAAAACCAACTAAAACTATCACATATCATAATAACTAAAATGCAACTAAGACTAATAATAGTTTTCGTTATGAAGACTAAGACTAAATGTAAAATGGCTGTCAGAAACAACACTGGCCTGCAGCACCTTTCACAACCTGCAGGAGGAGTAGGAGGAACAAACACAAGTCTGCACTGTTTGAGGACACATTAACATTGTTATTGGACTTGGAAGTACCACATGTACTAAACTCTGTTAGTGTTACCATGGCGACTTTAAAGTGATAGATTTATAGCAAGCTGCTACAAAACAGGTAAAGGCTGAATCCCCTTATGAGGGAATTTATTAACAGTTTACTGGAGAGACAGACAAACAACTCATTGACTTTTATACCAAAGAAATAAAGAGCTGGAATTCAGATAATATCAAAGGAAAACCTTAATAAAGGCAAAATATTCAAAGTAATGGCAAGAATGGCAGATAACTTTGCTCCAAGAACGTACAGCTACTTTCAGAGAGGCAAACAAAAGCAGACTTTTAGAAAACTAAATATTGGTTTGTGAACACTCTCCACAAAGCAAGTGTAACAGCATTGGGAACAATTCTGAAAACACTCCACAAAAACCTCTGGAGATGTTTCACAGTATACAGAGGAAGTTTTCATAATATGAAGAACATCCTCTTCATCTGATTGTCGTACAGCAACGGTGTTTCTTCAGTCAGAGGCTTCTCCAGCTTCACTTCAAGACAGGTCACTACAGGAGATCCATCCTGCCTGCAGCTATTAACTTCAACAAATTATTGAAGAAATCCATATATGAGGAACAACAACAGTACATTTCCATTTTGTGTTCTAATAACTAATTTCTAAAGTTTAGAAAGTTCTTTTAAAAACCTCTACAGTATCTCCAATCACTGGTTCCACAGTCTGTGGTACTTCCTTAACCCTTTTCTTCAGAGATATAATATCTCCGCTGTATGAGTTATTGGAAAACTTCCAGTAATGCCTTCATCCAGGTGATGGGCCGCGTTCCATTAGGTGTAAAACATGAAACTTTACCAGCTTTAATCTCATTTGCATTGTTGTTTATCAATTAAGACTGACTGATGCAGAAAGCTTTTTAATATTCTCATAAACTTCTGCGCTTTCATCTTCATCTTTATCTGAAAGTTCCTGTTGAAATGAAACAAAAAATTATAAATCTTTGACCATGACAGATAGTATTGTTGTTTAAATTTATTCAATCTGTTTTCTTCTGTCACGAAGTCACTTAAATCTTATTTTCTTCTTCTTTTCATTAAAATTGCATTTTTTATTATCTGGGACAAAATTATGATTTCTCTCACTATGCCTCCAGCCAACTACTTTACTACTTTTTCATTTTTGCTATTTTGACGAATAGCAAAAACGGGTTGCCATCTACAAACTACTCTATTATCAAATATCTCAAACAGAATCAGGGCACTATATTTTGATACATTTGTTAATCTTATTATGTATTATCTAAACTTACAATGTCTTTATTCATCTGTGATTGATTTTCTGAAAAAAAAAAACAAGCAGAGATTAAATATTACATTAATTCAATGAGTAGAAAAACATCTAATTTTTTATGAAAAAACAAGAAATTAGCATTTTCTCACCTTGGATTTTTGTCCATATGTTAAGTATGACAACAGACATTATGAGTATTGCCAAACCCACACACACAATGATGTCTCTAAGGAAATGTGGCAAGGCTGGAACGCATTATTACAAAACATTAGACAGGCACATTTCCCCTAACAAGTGCAAAAAAACACTTATAGGCAGACCAACAGAGTACCTTGGTGTGCTGGATTTTTCCCAAATGATCCTGAAATAGCACAAAAATGAAAAGGTAGGACTATGGTTCAGTGTTTAACAGCATTCAGAACAGCATTCATTTGAAGTTACTGAAAGACTTGCAAAAAAAAACATTTAGCATTTTACCTAGCTTATTTAAGACGTTTCTTTAAAAATGTTTCAATTGCATTATGAATAATCAAAACTGTTAAGGACAGACAGAAAAAGTTGAAAATAAACTGGAATAAAGAACAGTATCCCAATTGGAGAATAGAAGGAAGGAAACAAATTAAACCTAAACCTGAATATCTAAGATTGTCATGAAGCGAGGACAGATGGACCCAGTATTCAAGGAGAGACAGTCAGTAGGAAAGTTCAAAAACTTAATTAAATAAAACAAAAACTAAAGTGGAGCTGTGGCTTGCGGACACTGCAGGATGGGGAGTGGGGCAACGCCCAATCACAGACACTCTAGTTTAGCAGTTCAGGCCTAGAATGTCCCCAAGTGCTGCAGTCCCAGAGGACATGCATGCTGGAAGCCGATCCTGGTCAGGGATCCAGAACTGACAGGAACAGACAGGAACAGGATCCAGATCAGGCAGGAACAGAAACAGGTGGCAGGATCCAGACTTCCAAGAATCCACAGGCTCCTAGGAGGGTTCAGAGTCTGACAGGGACCGGAAGCATGACCAGGCAGTCACACACAGGAGCAGACAGGATCAGGTGCAGCTGAGCAGGCTCAGTGGAAGAGGGTAGCCGAGACAGGACGTGGAACCAGAACTTGATGCAGGACTTTAAACTGGTCTCCTCCCTGGAGCCAGGCTTACTGAGATAAAAACTGAACCTCCCCACATACAGAGCCAAAAACCCAGAGGACTCCGCGGGGGAGGAACAGTGGACGAGCAGGAGACGAGACAGACACAAAAACCCTCTTTCCACTGGCCTCCAGGATCCAGGACATGAACCATGAAATCAAACTAAACAGACAGACTAACAGAAAACAAATAATCGTCTGACCCTGAATGCTCAGGCTGCACTGAATATAATCAAGAGGAAACAGGTGAGAGGAATACATTTTAATTGAGGCAGGGAGGGAAAACGACAGGTGAAAGAAATTACCAATTAAGGGAGGGACTACAGGCCAGATAATGACAAAGATGAAGAGAATATTACATCTAAGGAGAAATAATGATGAACCAAGTTTGAAAAACATTCCTGGTAAGAAACAAAGGGAGAGGTGAAGAGAAGTTTGTGACACAACTAAGGTTGGAAATTGACAGGAAAGAAAACACTAAACATCATCAAATAAGGATCATTTAAACCAAAAACTGACATTCCAAACAAAAGTATAAAAAAACATGATAAAAAAACATGATTAAAAAGATCAAAAAGTTCTTACCTGCTGTCCCGAAAGGTGAAGGTTTGAAAGGGAAGAGTTGCACTTCTTTAGTGTAAGTATTGGTGACTTTACACATCATTGACTTTTTAAACTTCTGATGAAGCTCGGACATTGCAAATGTCACAGTTGCAAAACAAAATGGTGGTGAAATCCCTATGCCTGAATATATTCCCTCTTTACCCTGATGCGACCACACCACCTCATGTCTGCAGTCTTCGTACTGCAGGACAGAGCAGTTCAAGATGAACGAGGGACTGATGATCTGCTCAGTTACTGTTAAAGGTCCGAATTTAAGAAAACAAAACAAGGGATTAACTTTAAAATTCTATTTTTTACGTTGTTGCAATAGGATGACTAAGCTTCATAAATTGACTTTATTACTTACTCTCAATAATAGACAAAAAGAAGGACTGGTCATCTTTCTGTCCTGATACATTTTGTCTGCAGGTGTAAATGCCAACATCTTCGGCTGTGACTGCCTTTATAACCAGAGAACAGTTTCCTGTAAAACTACGTCTGTCAGATCTAGAGATCGCTCCACTGCTTGGCTTTTTGAACAGTATTTCTGATTTAGGCGATCTGAAATGACTAAAGAGCCACTCTGTAGACACAGAATCATTCTGACAATCACTGTTTCTACAAGCAAAAGTTACTTCATCTCCATGGGTGACGGTGAAAAAAACTGGTTCTGTCCCGGTCGCTGCTGTTAAAAGAATGACACAGAGTACATTAATAACATGACTGCAAGGCTTGTGCAGTGATGTTCGCAAAATTTAAACCAACTCAGTTACCTGTAAGCTGAAGCAGGAACATCAGGAATAAAAACATTTTAACTTCAAACTGCTGCCGTTCCGTCGCTCTGTCTTATTTTTGCAAATGATTCCTTCTCTCCTGATAAAAAAAAAAAAAAATGAATGCGTATTTGCTTGTCTAGTTTCACTTCCTCAGTGACTTCACTATTTTTTTTTCCCTCTCTTATTTGAGAGCACTCTGTTTATAGCAACAGGGTAAAACATAAAAAATGTCTAAAGATTTGTTGATAATAATAAAAAAATATTTGATGTTTTTTAAAAGGATACGGTATGCTACTAAAAAAAAGGAACATGCATCAGATCATTCACTATACTAAAATCTGCTGTATCCTTGTTTCCCCCTCAAGAAGAGGACATGCCATCATGCGCAAACAAGGATTCTTCTTCTTGTTCTTCCTCTCAGATGAAAACACAAATGCATGGCGGGGGTGCGAGTGAAGTGGAGCTCTTTCTGTAAAATTGACAGACCGTCGTAGCCACGTTTGCTCAGACATGTCTTTGTCCAAATACGTCGTTGCCTTTTTTATTTTAGGCCTTTCAGCACACAAAATTGCACAAATTGCCAAGGAAGAGCATTTCACTCTAGTGAGCTTGTATTCATTTGGCTTGCGGATTGATGAGTCGAAGTAGCGCCATCTCACTGCAGAGCTGAGTCTGACGTGGTTTTTAGTTGTACATTGTGAGCAGGTAGACTGCATCACAGTGTTGGGTCGCACAGTGTGAGAACATACATTGTGAGCTGTGAACTCACACTGTATGACGAAACCGCAGGTGGTCATACAGTGTGAGCTGTAGCTGCGTGCAACGATTGAAAAAAATCACACAGTGTATGCCCGAATTTAGTGCAGCACTGGTAATAGGCTTTCTAAAGACGAAAGAGCAAAACATGCTCCCTTCCATGTTGTTCTCTATTGTTTCATTTTTTTTATTTATGTCGCACTGACATATAAGCATAATATATACATATATATATAGTTTGACATCAGAAATTGTGTAAAGAATAACATTTGCTTATAAAAAAATCCTACTGACAGGAATTAGGTTAAATAAAGCTGTGTAATGTAATCTGCTACTAAAAGTCTCAAAATACACAAAATACAGTTTGATTTTCTATCACAAACTTACAATTGGATAGAAATTAAGGATTAAAATGAAAAATGTGCATTTTCTTGCCCAGTCCATTTCCTTGCCACTGTCCATGGTTCCATTTATTGATGCATATTCTAGATTACCTTAAGAAAATATTTAAACACCAACCGTTTTGTGTCCTCTCTACTTCCCTTCCAAGTTGCAGGGTTGGTATTGTTCAAAATTGAGTAATTTCTTTCCACTGTTGCAACATGATTGTTTAATAAGAGGGAAATGATGAAGTGATCAACTGAGCCACTTGTTAACCAGATATAAACTGGATTATGATTTATCACCTAATCTAATTTTAACATTGTGAGACTGGATTCAATTAGATTATTTTCATTGAAGGCCAAAAAATACATTAATATGTTATGTTTGTTTATTTTATTTTATTTGTTAAGAAACTCTGTGATGGACTGGACTCGCCTATTAACAGCTGGAGATAGGCACCAGCACCCCTCGCGACCCCAATTGGGACAAGTGTGTCTGATAATGGATGGATGGATGGATGTTAAGAAACTGGATTGATCTGAATTAAATCAGGACTTAGTTATAAGTAGAATCAATGTGTCGAAACAGCATTATATTAAATCCACTTTGAATTGACCTGATTTAAGAGCAGATGAAAAGAAAACAAGCAGGGAATCTGATGTAAACTTTAATTCGGCCTCTTAAAAAAATGTATTTAAACACCATAAAATAATGCATGAACCACTGTTAAATGATGACACTCGAGCTGCAAGTAGGGACTGTCACAGAGCTAAATAAAAAGCAGAAAATTTACAGATGCCACTCCAAATATTAAAGGTATGCTGGCGCCATTACCAAAGGACTGTAAAAGAAAACACCTTTCAGATGTTGCAAAAAAGTTGAAACATTTCCCTTCCCATCCAGGAAGCTTTTTCAATTCAAAATGTCAGAATTAGCAGTGAGATCCTTGCTTTATAAAGTAGCCCAAAAAAAGCCTTGTTTTGGCTTAGAAAACATGCAAATTGAACCGGAAGAATGGGTCCGCCCCTTAGTAATGGGGAATCGTTGAGATCCCTTTGGACATTTTATGCAAAACCTTATCTATTGTCACTCGTGCAATATTCTTCTCTCTCACTGTTTAATAACACATACCAACTACTGTATAGCCTGTGTATCTCTGAAGTACAAGTGCAATAATCCAATTCAACTACTGCGTGATCTTCCCTTAGCCGTCCACTGTGTAGATATTTTTATATCTAAGGAAAACATATTCCAGGACTTTACAACTTTTTTCTTTTCTTATACTTTTTTTTACTATATACCATCTTTTTATATTATCTTTGTACTCTATATAAGCTACTGAAACCAGAATTTCCCTCAAGGAGTATTCCCAAGGGATTAATAAAGTTGAGTCTAAGTCTTGTGGCAGGTAGCCAAAGTAAAGCCTATCCTTTCACAACAGCATTTTGAAACAGGGGTCCATGCCATGGTATCTGTGATGCATGCATTTCCCAGCTTCAGAGAGTACAGAATGCTGCTGCACGTCTCTTACAGGTACGAATAAATATGATCATATTTCCTCTATTTTAGCCTGTTTAAGTTGGCTGCTATTATATTTTAGGATTCCTTTTAGAATTATTTGCTTTTAAAACTCTAAAGGGCTGTGTCCCACCTTACCTGTCCAAGCGGCTACATGCCTATTCACCCTTTCAGCTGACCAGTTGTTACTGAAGGTGACAAAGACAAAAAATAAGCGAAGAAGGGGACCATGCTTTTTCTTTTACAGTTCCCAAGCTTTGGAATGACCTTCCCTTGCTCACTAGACAGGCCTCTTTACTTTTGATTTGATTTCTTTTCCTTGACTTTTGACACAATCTAAGATGTTGACTTTGTCTTACTGTGTTTCTTTTTATTATTCTATTCCTGCTTTTTATTTTATGGCTACTTTTATATGCCACTTTATTGTTTTATCATTGACTATCTTTATCTTTTGATTGTGTATAGCACTTTGGTCGTCTTGGGTGTTGAAAGTGCTTTATAAATAAATTTGGTATGGCATAGTATGGTAATATAACTGCCAACCTTCTCCACTAGTCACTCTAACAGATTGTTTGGCAACTTGGAGTAAGGTGCCCAGAGAGAGCTGCAACTAAATCAAAAACTATGAAATATAAAAGCAGTTTCTCGTCTCACGATCATTAGTTCCCTGAACTTACTATAATCTCAATAGATTAGCACAGTTGTCAAATCCCAATTCTTGGAGGCCAGTTATACTGTAAATTTAGGTTGTGTTTCTTCCTTAGTGTCTCTAAATCGACCACTCTAGCATACTGAGTCCATTTGATTCAGGAACAGGGACGGATCTAAAAGTTACATCCAATTGGCACTTGAGGAGTGTAGTTTTAACAGAAACAGTAACATTTGATTACTATTTATGAAGCTTTATTTTTTTTTATGCATACATTCATTTAAGATGAAGATTTCTAATAGTAAAGCCAGAGTGAAACACAGGGGTAGCAATAGGTGCAAGCAATGTTATTTAATCTCAATTTATACTTTAGGAGTTTAAACCTGTTGCCGAAACAGCAATTCAATACAATGCAGTGACTTTTAATAATGACTTGTTTCTCTCAGTTTTTTGCTTTATTAACTGTAGCATAGAGGCAGTTTGGATCTACAGGTATTGTAGCTGAAGAAGGAGCAGGTATGACCGTGCTGTAGGTCACCGCAGCATCATCATCAGTGCCATCATCAGCCCCATCCTAAAACAATATAAACTTCAGTCAATATTTTCAACACATAACAGCTTCTTTGATGCATCCAATGAATAATTAATTCCTTACCTGTACTTCCGGTTTGGTTTTCTTGATATGGCTGACAGAAGCATAGCAGAGATCCTCAGCATCATTCTGCAAAGTGAACACAACATAATGTTTCATATATATTTCAGTTAACGTCATCATAGCAAATAATTATAACTTTTTTTTTTATTCAAATATATTTTTGGGCATAAATTATGGGTCTGAACATTTTTTTTGTCTGCAACAGCAACTAAAGTGCTTTATCCTGCTCTTTTGGAAACATGCTATATTCAGCTAGCCATCAGCACCCATTTAAGAACAAAAATAGTCTTGCTTTGAAGTCACATTTCCCTAAACACATCGGCGTCGCCAGACCCCATTTACTGTGGCACGTGCCCCAGTATAAATGAGCTGTGCCCCAGTATAAATCTCATGAATATTTGCAACAGTATTACATTTTTTTTAATGCATCAACTTAGATAATTCCAACAGGAGGAGACGTATATTTCTACTCAAATGCGCAGCAAGTGTGTTGTTAACTCCAAATTGAGGATGTATTAGCACCCCCACGTCAGCGCATGTCACTGCATGAACTGCCGGTAAATTAACGCGCTGCTCTCAACTGAGTTGGATGGGACACTGTGCGGCCGCAACGCATTTTTAGTTCTGGTAACGTTTCTTACCTGTCAATTTTATTATTTTCCCAGTGAAACCACATGATTTATAGGCTACTAACTGAAAATTACTTCACTGGTTTGTAGATGGATATCAGGAAACTCCTCACACGAAGCAGAGACAGGGAAGCAGTAAAACAAGATGAGAGAGAGGGAGGTAAGGTCCCGTGATGAATTAGTGATTTAAGCTAACTAGTTACATTAGGAACGTTATAAGCAATATGATTGATATTTACATAATTATAGATTTACGTTTTTAATGTTTGCTGTAGAGAATGAGAATGAAGGTGCTGGAGTAGGAAAGGGAGGAGGAGGAGAGACTGACAGGCAAGAGACAGGTGAGAGACAGAAGAGACAGGACCATGAAGGTGATGAGGGAGCAACAACCAGCTTCCACAAACAAGAAGGGGACATTAGTGATTTAGGGGGAAACATGATGGTCCTAAACAAGTGAAGTTGTCCCACTATCCCCAGGACAAATTTGGAGTAAAAAAACCGTTCAT